TATATATATATATATATATATATATATATATATATATATATATATATTCAGATTTAAGTTTGCTTTTATGTTAAGAAATTCTTCATGAAATATAAACCAGTCCCTAAAATATCAATTTATTTATTATTATTTTCATATAACTCTTTAATATACAAAGAATTTTTTTGCTGTAAATGCTGCATTCTCCATATAACCATTTCCCCTAGAATTATTTATTGCATGATCCTCTCCTTTATTGATTGGAATGCTTCCTTTAGTGTGTATTAAGTTTTTATATGTCCTAGGGCGTGTTCTTCAGAGAGATTTTATTTGTTTAGTTTATCTTTCTTTTTTGGCCTGTTTTAAATTTTTTAATTATTATACTTTTATATTATGGCACTTTTAATATCCAGCCAAGCAGGTCTTTGCTTATTACACTATAAAAATGAAAGGCATTTTTCATCTATTCTTTTAGAAAAACTATAGAAACACCTATTCAAGATTCAAAAAAAACACAAAACCATTAAAATTTTAATTGGAACTGCTCTAAAATCCCTCTATTTTTTTCTGGTTTTCTTTGGTATTGTTCAGTATCTTCTTTTTTTAGTTTTTAAAATGTGTTTTCCTTAGGTTTTCTGGATTTCTTAAGGTTTATTTATAATATAGATTTTTCCATGATACATTCCAATTGATTTTTCTGGTATATTGGAAAGTTCGTTGAGTTTTTAATATTTATCTTGGGTCTAGTCATTTTCTTTAACTTGTTTATTAATTCCAGGAGCTTTTTAGCTGATTATTTTTCATTTTTAACATAAGCTATTGTGTTATTTCTCATAATGTGTTGCTTTTCTCCTTTTTAGTAGTTATGCCTCTTCTTTCAGTTTCATGTCTTATTGCATTGGTAAACTGTACAGCATGGTGTTAATTTTTAATGATGATAGCAGACCTCCTTGCTTTGTTTCAGTAAATCCAATTTCCTGACAGTAACAATTTCCTGGATGAAGGATAAGATGACAGGAAGAGTGGTATTTACTCATAGAGAAAAAAAAACGTTTTCTTACAAGGTGGGAATCCATTTAAGGGAACCATATATATGATGTGTGACATGCATAGATTGGAAAGAGCCTGAGCAAATACTGTAGTCTGTAGAGGGCATTAAGTTACTTATTTTGTCCACTCTGACTATTGGTATCTTATTCATGGTTATCAGTTGGGTCATTGTGACTCACAGGTCTTTTAAAATAATACCTAAGAAAATTATTTAACTTACAATTTTAAAAAAACAACACAAATTTTGAAGACATAGGTTCACACAATGGAATAACTAAGTGCAATCTGCAAAATAGTTAAGCGTGAATATACAACGTACAAGTAACATTCTGTGTGTTTCTGACGCTGATTTTCAACTCTAGTCATTTAAAAAAACTTTTTTGCCCAACACTTTGATAATTATAGCCAAGAAAAATGACCATCTTCTCTCTCTCTTTTTGTATCATCTTGGTTGAGCACTTATTTTCTTGTGCATCACAGTGGGCTGTGCCAGAATGCTAATTCTTTGTACAAACGATTTAGAGCTAACTGCAGAGGATTCATTCTAAATGTCTGTCCACTGCTCTTCAAAGTTCACATTTAACGAGGGTCATTGTACAAGACAAGTGCCAGAAACTTACTGCTACTCCAGAAATTACTCCTCTTTCTGTGCTGCAGTGTCTTTCTCTCTGAGGTCTTTACTGTCTACTTTATTCTGTGCCACAGCTAAGGTCTGCACTCTACTCAATTTGGAGAGGATCTGCAAGTAGGGACGTGAAAAGATAGCAACTCCTCCAATATCCTAAAGAAGGCTTCTGCACTGCCCGTGATGAATCAACTCTATGGCAGCGCCTGTGTAGTGCTATTGTTTTCCTTTTCCTTCCACCACCGTCGATACCCCTGTCTTCCTGAGGGTTCCTCTTCCCCAGCCCCCAAGCAGCATTGCCTCCCAAGGTAATTTTCTTCAGTCAGCAATCCTTGTTCCAGAATTTTGGGCCACAGCTCCTGATTGTGTCCCAGATTCCTTTTCCTTGAGTCCTACTGCATGCTTGTCTGATAATCAATCTGTTCCAAAGTGGTGTAGTGTCTCCTAATTTTCCTTAGGTTGCATTTGTACCTTTGGTGTCAGAGAGCCCTACCACACCGGTTCTAATCGAGGGAAACTCAGGCCTAATGAGAAGCATGAAAGACATGGGTTCCTCTAACATCACATCCTTGAGTACTTATGTAATGTTCTTATGCTCTTCCATCTAGTATATTCCCATAACAGAAGTATGCATGCATTGTTCTCAGCTATCCAGACACTCATTTTGCAGTGGTACAAAGTGAGTATCCTACCTGTTAGCTCTTGCTATGGGGATTATTTAGGCCTGTCTTCTGTACATGCATTCTGTAGACATTTCTATCCCAACTACTCTCCTTTTGCTCCTCATACTTCACCTCTAGGCAGAAATCACCTATTTCAGCCAGAGGGAGGGAAGGCAATCCCATACTCCTGTCAAGCACCTGTTACCACATCTCAGAATCTTCATTAGCAGAACGCACCACCCTATGTCTGACTTGCATTCTCTCCACTGCAATATCAGGTTAATTTAGTTTTTGTGGTTGTGGCTTCCCACATAATTTCCAAAACGTGAGATTACTTTATTCTCTTATGCTATAGCTATTGGTCCAGGGGAATCTACCAAGGAATCATTTTAATGGTGATAAAATACACATAATATAAAAATTTACCATTTTAAGTGTACAGTTCAGTAGTGTTAAGTACATTCACATTGTTGTACAATCAATCTTCAGAACTCTTTTCATCTTCCAGAACTGAAACTCTCCACCCATTAAACAGCTCCCCATTCCCCCCCTGCTCCCAGCCCCTGGAAACCATGATTCTACTTTCTGTCTCTATGAATTTGACTACTCTAGGTACCTCATATGAGTAAAATCATACAGTATTTATCTTTTTGTGACTGCCTTATATCACTTAGCCTAATGTCCTCAAGGTTCATCCATGTTGTAGCATGTGTCAGAATTTTCTTCTTTTTTAAGGCTGAGTAATATTCCATTGTATGTTCATACCCCATTTTGTTTATCCATTCATTCACCTGTGGACACCTGGGTTGCTTCCACCTTTTGGCTATTGTTAATAATGCTGCTATGAACATGTCTGTTCAAATATCTCTTCAATACTCTTATTTCATTTCTTTTGGGTATATACCCAGAAATGGAATTGCTGAATTATATGGTAGCTCTATTTTTAAAATTTTGAAGAATCGCCATACCGTTTTCCACAATAGCTACACCATTTTATATTCCCAGCAACAGGGCACAAGAGTTCCAGTTTCTCCACATGCTCACCAATATTTGTTATTTTCTGCTTTTGTGATAGTAGCCATCTTAATGGGTATGACGTGTGTTTGATTGGCATTTCCTAGCGATTAATGATGTTGAGCATCCTTTCATGTGCTCACTAACCATTTGTATATCTTCTTTGGAGAAATCTCTATTCAAGTCCTTTGCCCTCCAGTTTGTTTTTCAGAACTACCTTTCTTCAGAAACACATATGTTTATATGCAGAAGTTGTATTTTCTCCGCTAGCTCACATCACCCTTGTTCTGTCACGTTTACTTCATTGGAGGCAGGTTGCCTCCGGCCTCCAGATAATAGCCCCAGCCCTCGCCTTCCTTGCCTTCTGCCCCAACACTAAAGGTCAGTTTCCATGCAGAAAAAATAACTTACAGACGGAGGACTGATGAAGACAGTGTGTCTTCTGGAAAGAGCCTGAGATCTGGGACAGCCTAACTTTTGGTCAGCTGCCCACTTGTGTGACTTGTAACAGGTCCTTTAATTACTCCAGTCTCTATATGAAAATCGGCGTTTTAGCTGCATTGTCAAACTCACACCACAGGGACAGAGAGAGGTGATTTAGCCTAGAATCTTAACATTGGGAAATATCTTAACGTTCATTTAGAAAAATACCTGTCCCTCTCTCTCCCAACTCCCATACTTAATGTGCTTCTTTAACATGTTAAGAGTCTTTGCAAAGTTTGAGAATGCTACTCTAGAAAGGTTAGGTGGTTTTATTATGATTATTATTTTTACAAAGTAACATGTGCAAGCAGATGTAGTTAGAGGTCCACCAATCTGATTCTCATGAGCAAAATGGTGAGGCTGTGGCTTCTTCCTGCCTACTCTCCCATGATGCCTGCCCACAGCCTCCCTTGGGGGAGGATGTTTATTTCAAGCATCCGGAGGAGCATTGTGCTTTGTTCAGGATCCACCTGCTCCTCTCCAGGCCCAAACACAATTCACTGATGCTGTTGGATTGCAGAGTGGGAGGGAGGCTGGCCACTCAATTCCCTTGAATTGAGTCCAAGAAACTAAACAAGGGGTGGAGGGACCCTGTGTAGAAGCCAAACCACTTGGGATGTTAAGACGAACAACAATTCACTGAGTTCTTGTTTGTTTGGTGTTATGCTTCGTGCAGTCTGAGTTCAAAATTATGTAATGTACACTCACTCCGCCCACTAAGAAGTCTTATAGTCTAGTCACAGAGAAATGACAGTAGCAGTAAGGCAGAATGTGATTAAACATCGAAGTGTGGACAATATAGTCTATGAGGTATTGCTATTATTAATAGTAATAGTAACAGCTGCTATTTATCCAGTGCCAATTTGGTTCCAAGCGCCTTGCCAGGCACTCTTCATACAGCAGCTCTTCAGTCACCAGCCCTACTGAGTCTTCAGCTGAGGAGCCTGACACTCAGATGAGTTGCATGACTTGCAAAGAATCTAGTTAATAGCAGAACAGGGGCTGATACCCAGTCTAAGGGAAGATAGGACTGGCTTCCCTGAGGAGGTGAGTTGGAATTGAGTCTTGAAGGATGGGAATCCAAGGGGGAAAGCCATGTTCTTCACTGCAACCAGGGCTGTGAAGGTCTCAGGCTCACACACTCCTGGGCTTCCTCGTGGTGCTACCCCCACTCCCAAGGCCCTTCGCTGCCAGCTTCTCCTGCATACATGCTACCCATTCTTCAAGGCCTATTTCAGGATGTTTCTGATAACCCCAAACCAGATGTATGCTCACCCTCCTTTGAATGTCCATAGCAGTTGTCTGTGCCTTTCTTAGGGTTCTTGCCATGTAACTAGCTCTGTTAACTCTTAGTCTCTTTGTGCCTCAGTTTCCTCACCTATAAAATGGGGAGAATAATAGTATCCATCTCGTAGGGTTGTGTGAGGCCTAAATGAGTCACCATGCATAAAGCACTTAAAATAGGGCCTGAGACATAGGAAGCATCGTTTATCCTCATGGCCATGCATATACAGTGAGAGCTCTGATCATGTGGAATTCATTGCCACACCTGTCCCCCCCGCCCCCCCGCCCCCATACCTGACACACGTGCAGAGGGTTTCACACAGTGTCTCATATTCGGGTCGTGATCACTGTCAGAACAGCTGAATCTGGTTGAGGAATAGCTTCCTAGGACTCAGCAGGCTGAGGAGGTGCCCCCTTGTTCGGCTTGTTTAGATTATGCAGGAGCCCTGTCCCTCTGCCTCTCTCAGGAACAAGACGCATTTCAACCAGAGACACTTCAGAAGCCCGGAATCATCCAGGCAGGAGTTTCCCTCCACCTCATCCAGAAAGCGTGGTGCTGGGGAGGGTGAGGTGCTCATGGAGAGGCAAGGCAAGGCTCTCCAAAGGGACACGAGCCCAGAGAGGAGGAAGACTGCTGATCATATCAAATGTGGAGCCCAGACTCCCCACAGCAAATGCTGTTGTGAAGAGCCTCTATCCAAGGACTTCCTTGGACACCTGCATCGTCTATCCTTTTCCTGAGGGGGAAGCAGCCGTGGCCTGAGAATTCATTTCTCTGTAACCTTGGCTCTTGGGGACCTTCTGAGGCTACTGTTGGAGTCTTCTCTCTGTGATCTGGAGGTTAGGTAGCCCTGCTCTCTGGCCTCCCCAAAGCCTCGAATTCCAGCTGGCAGGAGAAAGCTGGACGTGAGGCCAATCTTTTTTTTTTTTTTTTTTTTTTGGTACGCGGGCCTCTCTCTGCTGTGGCCTCTCCCATTGCGGAGCACAGGCTCCGGACGCGCAGGCTCAGCGGCCATGGCTCACGGGCGCAGCCGCTCCGCGGCATGTGGGACCCTCCCGGACCGGGGCACGAACCCGTGTCACCTGCGTCGGCAGGCGGACTCTCAACCACTGCGCCACCAGGGAAGCCCCGTGAGGCCAATCTTGACCTTGTCTTGTGCAGGAGCAAAGGAGCCTGGGTTTTCCTGCCTTCGGTACGCGGGCCTCTCACTGCTGTGGCCTCTCCCATTGCGGAGCACAGGCTCCGGACGCGCAGGCTCAGCGGCCATGGCTCACGGGCGCAGCCGCTCCGCGGCATGTGGGACCCTCCCGGACCGGGGCACGAACCCGTGTCACCTGCGTCGGCAGGCGGACTCTCAACCACTGCGCCACCAGGGAAGCCCCGTGAGGCCAATCTTGACCTTGTCTTGTGCAGGAGCAAAGGAGCCTGGGTTTTCCTGCCTCGGGCCATAGCAGTAGGAAAATACCCAGGCTGCTTTCCAAGCTGGGAGGGCCCTCTGGCCTTGCCCTGAGGAACAGTCCTGCTCCACAAACAGGAAGCTTTCTTCTCCACGGAGGCTCAGTTCTGATGCCCCTCACACGCCCCAGCAGTTTTCCCCTAACAGGAAAGCTGTCAGAGCCGTTCAGGCATTTCCTCCCCTGCCATCTGCCATCTGGACAGAGGAGAAAGTCTTGGTTTTGATTCCTTTTCTGTGCAGGGGAGGCCACTCCCTTTGGAGGCTATTGAAATAAATCCTGGAGGTCTGAGCACAGGGTGCTGGAGGGGCACAGTCAGTGATTCCAATTCATCCCTTTTCTGGGACTCAACTGTTGAAGAATAATCAAGAGTTTGTCTTCAGAGTCCGAGTGCCTGAGTCCTATGTCAGCAACCTGGAGCAATCTGTCGCCCTCATGTAAAACTGGGTTCCATGTTTCTAATGGGAAGGGGGAATGAAGACTAGACAAGAACGCCACTGGAGTTTGAGCCGTGCTCTTTGTGAGACCCCTTGGAGAGTAAGAGGGAAGGGACTGAGGATCCTGTTGCGTCTATGGTCATAAATTTGTTCTCTATTCCTCACCTGCCTTAGCTTTTCCTTCAATATTTGGGGATTTTCTCTTCATTAGTATTGCATTATTAATATTTTCCGTTATTGGTAATTTCTTTTGAATTTAATTTGAATACTATATGTTTACATGGGCAATCCTTCAGTCAGATGATGTTTCCTAAATTCATTCTCTGACTTCTTACAGTGCCACCTAAGACCACCTTTTGGTCCTGGAAGATTTTGGAGTTTTTATCTTATTGTGTTTTTGCACATAAGAAGTTTGCAAGATTTTTTTCTTCAGTTGGAATTTTAGAAAAAAAAGGATTCTTCTTGTTTTGAGGGTAGCAGTGTGATTAGAATTATTGCCTGAGACTCTGGATGCAGTTCAGAGTATACTAGTAACCTCCTCTCCTCACCATTTTTCTCTGTCATCCCAGGAGGAGTTTAAGAAGGACAATGGAGAGGAACTGACCCGAGTCCTGTGTGGGAAGCAGCAGGGTGAGGCCAGGGCCGGGGTGTGCTCCTTGCTCCTGGCCCAGTCTGAGGTGAGGCCTCACTGCCTGCTGCTGGTCTTGGCCAACAGAACAGGTAAGGGGCACACTGAAGTCTAGGGAGGCAGAGGGGCTGAAGTTAGAGGATCCTGGGTAGAAATCAGGCCTCTTCACTCTGGCCTCCCCAAAGCCTCGAATTCCAGCTGGCAGGAGAAAGCTGGACGTGAGGCCAATCTTTTTTTTTTTTTTTTTTTTTCGGTACGCGGGCCTCTCACTGCTGTGGCCTCTCCCATTGCGGAGCACAGGCTCCGGACGCGCAGGCTCAGCGGCCATGGCTCACGGGCGCAGCCGCTCCGCGGCATGTGGGACCCTCCCGGACCGGGGCACGAAACCGTGTCACTCAGAGAGCACAGATGCTAGGGAGCAGGGCTATGCTGACTTTGGGAAAGACCCTCCTGAGACGGACGCTCACCATCAGAGCATCTTCTAGAATAGTACAGGGTGAGCTGTTCCACCTTCTAGATCCAGCAACCTCTGTTTCTAATTCTAGAACTTTCCAGCAAGCTCCAACTTCTGAAAAAGCACCAGTCTGACCTGAAAGAGGTAAGCTCTGTGAGATGAGGGGTCTCAGGGGAATTCACTGGAGCAGGGGAGAAAGTAATTATATTCTCCAGACCTGCCCTTCCTACCTCTCCACCCTTCTCCAATAGTCCTTTCCCTTCTATGTTTGAAACAAAATGTTACAGTGCAGCTTAATTAAGAGATTCCAGTCTTAAGTCCTGTTTAGAAAATCCCTGAGGTCCATGTCTTCTTGGGTTTATTCACTGTTGAGTCACACACAGGGTCTAGCATGGTCTGGGCTCCTTGTCTAAAACCCACGTTCCACAAATGACAGGCTCTCTTTTTTGTCTCTTCTCTTCAAGCTGGGCATCCAAGGCTTCACTGAACAAGATGTCGGGAGCCACCAGAGCTATTCCCGAAAGACCTTGATTGCACTGGTCACCTCGGGGATCTTGCTAGCTGTCTTGGGCACCACGGGCTATTTCCTGATGAACCGCCGCAGTTGGAGCCCCACAGGAGAAAGGCTGGTCAGTTCTAGGGTCCAGGGCAAAGAAAATGGGAAGCTAGGTCTCCTGGGGAGGTCCATGAATGCCATGGAGGGGGAGGAGGAATACCAGAAAAGGCACTTCTGTGCCCTCACAAGGGAATATGCGTGTATGCACATTACTGTATCCATGGACAAGTCAAAACAATATATAGCAGATTGGGAAGGGGGCACTAACTGGGGCCCTAGTCCCTGTGGTAGCAGATGGTTCTGTCATCTATTCATCTGTCAGCAGATGGTTTATCTGTCAGCAGATGGTTCTGTCATCTATTTATTATTTTGCCTGGAATAGTTTAGCTGGGTACAAACCAGAACAGGCTGCCAAATCAGCCACTTATTTGCAAGCGTGTTAAAAGCCCATGGGCACCAAGTGGCTCACAAGGGGACACATGGAAGGAAAATCTACTCTTGACGTGTTCCAGATGAGAGAGGACAAGGCCAGGGTTTGACTTTTGGCCTCTGGCCCTTTACCTCCTCTGGGGAGGTTATTGCACCCTGGGGACTGCCTAGTTTCTGGCGGGAGCTGGCTCTTGAACTGCCGTGGCACGGTGTGGTGCCTCTCCTCTGTCCTTTCTCCTCTAGGAGCTGGAACCCTGATCGCTCTTCAGGAAGAAAGGAGTCTGCACATGCAGCTGCAACCTCCATCTTCCCCTCCCACTCCCTTCCTCTTCCTCCCACCCCCTTCCTGCTGCCCTGCTTACGAGATAATGCTCCTTTATTTATACACCATCTAGGGCGAAGACCCTTATTACACGGAGAACGGTGGAGGCCAGGGCTATAGCTCAGGCCCTGGGGCCTCCCCTGAGGCTCAGGGAAAGGCCAGTGTGAATCAAGGGGCTCAGGAGAACGGCACCGGCCAGGCCACCTCCAGAAATGGCCATTCAGCGAGACAACACGTGGTGGCTGATACAGAACTGTGACGGGGGG